AAACAGTCAAATGACCTTCCAGGGACTGTGCAAAATATGGAGCTTTTCAAGAATGTGCACATCATATTTTCACATGAGCCATGCTTAATCTGCTCCGTATTGTTTCAATTTTAGGACATGTGCTGCCGGAGAGAGCACAAAGCCCTTCCTTTGTATGTGGGTATCGATGAGTCATGGGTGAGGCTTAGCCCGGTTACATCCAACTAATCTAGTTTAGACTCAGAGGTTTCAGTTGAATGGCTTCTTTGTGAAGCAGGATTTGAAAATGTTTTAAAACCTTGAGGTAGAGAAGCAAGCAGCTTGGGAGATGTTCGTTATTATGGGGAAGAGATCACTTCAGGGCCAAGGGCAAGTTGGTGCCCACTACTCCGGAAGGATGATAGAGGACCATTTGCTACCTCAGAAAAGGTGCTACATGGGACATAAACAGACCTCAGGGTACAGATCCGGTAACAAAGAAGAAGGGAAACTCTGATCTTTTCCTGCAACATTCTTTGAACCTCTCTGACAGTTTAGAACAATGTCAACTAATATTTGCTTGAGAAAAGGGCTTCAAAGGATAATTTAGGCTTAGGCTAAGTTATGCTTAGCCTATGAATGCTTAGGCTAAGTCTAAGCCAAAATGTGGGTTCTACATAACGTTTGAAGTGTGGGGGAAGGGTCGCTTTGCTCACTATGTGTGTGGCTAAAGCTAGGAGGCCCAGCTGCAGAGCAGAGTACTGGTGCTTTGGGAACAATGGCTGAGCACCTGAGCATATGTACGTGAACTAAAAAAAAAAATGTTACTTTGAAGTCTAAGTATGGATGACCATGGAGACTGAGGGATCTGAACCAGCAAGGGCATCCTACTACCAAAGGTCAGTCATTACTGGAGGGCAGGATCAGTTTCCATAGCAACAATGCAACAATGGAATCAAGGGAAACAACTGAATGATTAGAATGTCCTTTTTTTCCTCCTTCTGACTTATAAAAGAGGATCGTCTTCCTTGCACTTTGGAACTTCTTACATTCTTTAAAATTCAAGGAGAAGGGTCTAGGACTGAGGTCCCCAACCCCCAGGCTGCAGACTGCTACTGGGTCCATGGCCTGTTAGGAACTGGGCTGCACAGCAGGAGGTGAGTGGCTTCATCTCTATTTACGGCCACTCCCCATCACTCACATCACTGCTTGAGCTCCAACTTCTGTCAGATCAGCCACTGTCTCCCATCAGCCCCAGATGGGACCATTTAGTTGCAGGAACACAGCTCAGGGCTCCCACTGATTCTACATTATGGTGAGTTGTATAAATATTTCATTATATATTATAATGTAATAGTAATTCTGAAATAAAGTGCACAATAAATGTAATGCACTTGAATTATCCTAAAACCATCCCACCTGATCCATGCAAAAACTGTCTTCCATGAAACTGGTCCCTGACGGCAAAAAGGTTGGGGACCGCTGGTCTAGGAGATAGCCCCCAGGGTATGGTACAAGAGTTTCTCCTAAACTGGACATTTCAAGACCCAAATAACTAATTAGAAGTATCAAGGATGTGATTTTATTTTTATCCCAAGCATAGGGGTCATACTTGGAATGAAATGGACAATGTTGAGATCCCTAAGGATAAGGGTCTTAAATGTCCTGAGGAAAAGAATCCTGCATCCTTTGCGACTTCTGACGAGGCCAGCCTTTTGCTTGATTGCTGGCACGTGAAGTGGACTGCCTCGCTGCCATTCCGCCACTACCTGAACCAGACTAGGAACTCTCCCCTGATGCATAGGATGCAATAGCTATAATCATCTTATACTCCAATTTAGTATCAACTAGTCTTTTAATGGGTACACTTACATGTTAGAACCATTAAAAACAGCATAATCTTCTGCTGTCCATCCCCGGTAATTTTTTGCAAAGACATCAACACTTTGCTGGAGAAGAAGACTCACTGTACTTGATGATCCACAACGTACAGCGAGCATGAGTGGTGTTCTAAAACGACAGAGAGATAACTTCGCCCTTAGGAACTTTCATAAAGTTACTTAAACAACTAATATGATGTACTTTACCAATTCACTATCTCGCCTGTCTGTGTAGAATTAACCATTTACATGTACTTACAGACATAAGCATCCCGGGTGCTCAAGTGTTCACTGTTGTAAATTACCACTGAGGCTAAAAGAAAGAGACAAAACAAAGCCTCCTGTCTCCCTGGGGTACGGCATAGTAAAACTTGCTAATTTATAGTCCTTTGATGGGCAAGAAACGATGCTGAGATCACTTATCTAAAATAGGCCCAGATTTAAATGGAGAATTCTC